CTATCAAATAACACCACGCGGGCCGCTCGCGCCCGTCGGCCGCGCGCGCATGTCGAAATTCTTCCACAACCTCCATCACGGATGCGTGGGCACCTTCATCGTCTTCTGTGTGGTAAGAATCGGCGCCGTTATTTGCCTTGCCGTCGTCGCCACCACCACCGCCGCAACCATCATCATGTCGGCCGTTGCCGACGTCGCCTTGGTACCGCGCCTGCCCGAGTCACCGACTTGCACTGAAGTGCCCGCGCGTCAGCGCGGTCTGTGAGACGCATTTGGACGTTTCCAGCTTTCAGCGCCACCGCGGCCGCGCCGATCGCGCCTGAGTGCATGGCCACTCGTCGCGCGAGCATTCGCGCGCTAGCGTTGCAGAAAGATGCGCCAGCCAGTGCCAGGCAGGCATCACAATTGCCGCACATGGTTTTGCAACCAAATTTCGGGCGGATGGATGGGATGACCACAAAGCTTGCGCACCATAAATTTTTCTTTCGAGGAGAGTATTCGGTTTCCCTTCCTCGCCTTTCCCGAATTAGCGGGACCCTTCTTCGCATGGCAATTTACATAAGATTCTGCCCCATCGTCCAGCCGAAATTTGAACTCATATCATCCCCCAAACCGCCTCCCCCCCTCATCCTCTTCAACAAATACTATGCGCGCGCAATCTTTCATCAAACACCAGCAGTTGTCACTAATCCTTTGCAATATATGGGACGAAGTGCACGCGCTCGCATGTTGGAATCTTAAAAAACTTGACGTTTCGTAGGGGGTTCAAGATCGATTGCCCCGAAACATATAAACAACAACGTTTTGCAATACGAGTTTTTCAAACATAAACTTGCGCTCGCGCTCCTGTGAATCCTAAGGACGTTGTTTTTTTCCACATGGTCATAACATGCTACCAAACAGTCCTCTCGCGCGCGCATGTCGACATTGTTCGAACGCCCTTGCGCGCGTGTTGTCGCAATGAGCCCTTGCACATGAACTGACGAAGTGCGCACGCGCGCGTCGTCGCGCGCGCATGCGGAAATCCCCCAGCAACCAAAAGGTCCGTTAGGATTTTAAACTCGTGTCCCAAAAACATATAAAAACACATGGTTTCGCAACATCAGTTTCCACCAGAACTTGCGTTCGCGTTCTTGCGTTATATATATACATACATATATATATATATATATATATATATATCAGACAACCATCAGTTCCTTTACCATGATCATAGAATTCAGTTCAACGGGCCTCCCGCGCCGCATGCGAAAATCATTCGAAAGCCCTTGCGCGCGTGTTGGGGGGACACGATTCGGTCAAATAGTATAGCACGGGCCATTCTCACGCGTCGGCCGCGTTCGCATCTCGAACTCTTTCCAAAACCTTCATCACCGTATCGGTGAGGCCGTCATCGTCGCGAGCGTGATCAGAATCGGCGCCGTCTTTGTCGTCACCATTTGTGACCAGCATCGCTACAATCATTGTGTCTACTGTTGTCGACGTTGGCATGATACCGTGTCCGCCCAAATCGCCGACTCGCTCTGAGCTGGGAAGTGTCCGGCGGTCAGCGCCACCACGGCCGCGTCGGTCGCGCCGAACTTGCTGGCCGCTGCGCGCGCGAGCATACGCGGGCTAGCGCGGCCGCAGAGATGCACCAGTCAACACCACGCACTCACCGCAATCGCCGCCGCATGGATTTTGCAAACCAAGCTGTGGGTGTAAGGGAGGGAAGAGTGCGCAAGCAGTGGATGTGTCAATTTCAAATTCGCCATGGTGAATTGAACCGCGTACATTGTACAAGTTGCACTGCACAAGGTATATTTCTTTGCATCGCGTGCACAATCCACATATTTATACCTGTACGTATATACACACATATATGTACATATGCATATATGTATGTATGTATATATATATATATGTATATATATGTATTACAAAACCACCACACATATTACACACCATAGGTTGCACCACGTAGGCCGCGCCACTTAGATTGTACCGCGTAGATCGCACCACGCACATGGATTGCACGCCACATATTACACCCCCTTTGTGGAGTGCACACCGTACGCTGCCCCACATAGATTGCACCACCCATGCTGCACCGTATAGATTGCACAACGCAGGTTGCACCGCACAGGTTGCATTTTTGCGAGTGCACCACATAGCTTGCAACAAATACGCTGCACCGCATAGTTTGCACCACATGGAATGTACACCACTTGCTGGACCACATAGCGCACAACAGATACTGCACCACGCCAGCTGCAGTACCTAGATTGCACCACGCAGATTTCACACCCCAAAAATGAGTTTCGGATCTACCTCCGCCCACAGACTTTACGGTACCTCTTTTTGTATGGCTTGTTGCAAATGAATCAGCCCCATCGTCAATCTTGAACAAGACTCAGCCGATCCATCCCAGGCAATCTTTGATCGCCCTCGTCATCCCTTCCCCCCGAAAAAAAACGCGCGCAGTCGTTGGCCAAACGTCACAAGTTTTCATGAAGCACCTTGTGAAACAATGGGACGAAGCTCATCGCCATCATCATCGTTACCATCATCATCGTGTCCGATTTTGTCGGCGTCACCATGATTCCGCGTCCGCCGGAATCTGAAGTGCAAGCGCGTCAGCGCGGCCTGGGGCACGCGCTGGGACAATCCCAGCGGTCAGCGCCATTGTGACCGCGTCGGTCGCGCCAGACTAGCGGGACGCTCTGCGCGTGATTTTGCGCGGGCTCGCGCGGCCGCAGCGATGCGCCAGCCAGCGCCAAACGGTCATTGCAATCGCCGCCGTATCGGTTTTGCAAACCAGCTTGCGGGTGGGTGGGTCGGGTGATTGCGCGAGCTTGGGAGTTGGCAACATCAAGTTCTGCAAGGTGGAGGGTTGCACCACATATATTGCATCAGAAACATTGTTATGTAATTATTGTGTTGGGCCCGCGGTTGCTCACACTTTGGGGCTGGTGGGGGGGGCGCATGGGTTCGGATTGGTTGCCAGTCGTGTGGCGCAGAGGTTTTCCACACACACACATATATATATGTATATATAAATATGTGTGTATCGGGAACAGTGACCATGACACTAGGCGCAAGTTGTTTGGTTCACTACCGCTCGCCCTTCCAACACAAACTTTGTACCGAGTTTCAGCATATTCAGCGGCCGTTTTTGGATGGAGGGCTATCGGGAAGCAGTACAGACCCCAGACGCGCGACGCTGGGGCGATGTGCTCCACGCGTGCCAGGCGCGCCGAGCACACCAGGCGCGCCAAGCACCATTGGGGCCCGAGCATGCCAGGCACGCTTGGCGCGCCTGATGCGCCACGTGCTCTACGGGCGCCACATGTGCCGCATGCTCCAGACGCGCCAGGCACGCCAGTTTTGGGGCACGCGCAGAGTATGCCAGGCGCGCCCGCGAACAACGGGAAATATGCCTGCCCCTTCCATCCCGATCGAATACCAGCCCACAACGGTGGCGGAGTGGCCATCATGATGTCTGGCGGGCCTGCGCACAGCAGGCCATATACCAGCACCCCCGCCGTCCATATCGAAAACAAATGCAACATTATCGCAGGGTGCCTGCGCATGATTCTGATTCGGCCGCGGAGTGTAGCTTGTACTGTTTGTGCATTGGATGGTGGCCTTGCGCGCAGCAGGCCATATGTTGGCACTCTGCGACCCCTTGCAACAAAAAAACGAAGTGCTCTCGCCCTCCCGAACATGACCCAAGATTTCGTCCCAGGTTTGTCGACAGTCAGGTGGGGGAGGGGGTGTATATTGATAGAGGACAGTGATAAACCTTTCCCCGAAGAGGAAAAAGGGGGTTGGAAGAGAAAACGTCCTAGACCAGTCACGCCCCCAAGGGCTGGTGGGATTCACTGTCTGCTGTTCGAAGGAGCTCTGCTGGCGCTTCGTCGTGAAGGGAGGTCTGGGTTGTCGATCCACGATGCCTCTTGCGCCTACACTGCGAAGCCGAACCACAAACCGTCAAGAGACGTGAGCGAAAAAAGAAACCAGGGCAACCTCCTTCATAGAGTTCACCCCTAGCCTTTTTGATTCCAGACTTGTCTTGCCTCGCAGCGAGGGAAAGGCGCAGGTGGTCTTGCAGCATAGCTCAATGGCGTGGTGCACGCAGATCGAGGTGGACTCCGAGTCAACGGGCCTGCTTCTCGAGTCAGGCGAGGCAGCGGCAGCGAGGGAGAGCGGACACCGCCGGGGGCGCCTCGGTTACCTGGCCACGGCGGTGTCCGCGACGCTGGCGGTCGCCTACTTCATTCCGCGCCGCGGGCAGACGGCCTTCGGAAACTTCGGCGACGGTGTCTCGGGGTTGCAGGAGGTGCCCGAAGCGGGAACGTGCCAGTGCGACGCGCCCACGGCCGATGACACCTGGCAGCCTGGCGAGATGGGCACCGTCGCGGCCTGCAAGGGCGGCCAGATGGGCTGCTGCACCAAGGGCGGCCTGCCCTGCGGGCCGCAGCCCGGGGTCGACCCCGTGACGCCCGAGGACGGCACGTGCCAGTGCGACGCGCCCACGGCCGATGACACTTGGCAGCCTGGCGAGATGGGCACCGTCGCGGCCTGCAAGGGCGGCCAGATGGGCTGCTGCACCAAGGGCGGCCTGCCCTGCGGGCCGCAGCCTGGGGTCGACCCCGTGACGCCCGAGGACGGCACGAGCCAGTGCGACGCGCCCACGGCCGATGACACCTGGCAGCCCGGCGAGATGGGCACCGTCGCGGCCTGCAAGGGCGGCCAGATGGGCTGCTGCACAAAGGGCGGCCTGCCCTGCGGGCCGCAGCCCGGGGTCGACCCCGTGACGCCCGAGGACGGCACGTGCCAGTGCGACGCGCCCACTGCCGATGACACTTGGCAGCCCGGCGAGATGGGCACCGTCGCGGCCTGCAAGGGCGGCCAGATGGGTTGCTGCACGGATGGCGGCTTGCCCTGCGGGCCGCAGCCCGGGGTCGACCCCGTGACGCCCGAGGACGGCACGTGCCAGTGCGACGCGCCCACGGCCGATGACACCTGGCAGCCTGGCGAGATGGGCACCGTCGCGGCCTGCAAGGGCGGCCAGATGGGCTGCTGCACGAAGGACGGCGGCCTGCCTTGCGGGCCGCAGCCCGGGGTCGACCCCGTGACGCCCGAGGACGGCACGTGCCAGTGCGACGCGCCCACGGCCGATGACACCTGGCAGCCCGGCGAGATGGGCACCGTCGCGGCCTGCAAGGGCGGCCAGATGGGTTGCTGCACGAAGGATGGCGGCCTGCCCTGCGGGCCGCAGCCGGGGTCGACCCCGTGACGCCCGAGGACGGCACGTGCCAGTGCGACGCGCCCACGGCCGATGACACCTGGCAGCCCGGCGAGATGGGCACCGTCGCGGCCTGCAAGGGCGGCCAGATGGGCTGCTGCACGAAGGACGGCGGCCTGCCCTGCGGGCCGCAGCCTGGGGTCGACCCCGTGACGCCCGAGGACGGCACGTGCCAGTGCGACGCGCCCACTGCCGATGACACTTGGCAGCCCGGCGAGATGGGCACCGTCGCGGCCTGCAAGGGCGGCCAGATGGGTTGCTGCACCAAGGATGGCGGCTTGCCCTGCGGGCCGCAGCCTGGGGGCGACCCCGTGACGCCCGAGGACAGCACGTGCCAGTGCGATGCGCCCACGGCCGATGACACCCGTGCACCGTCGCCGAGGACAGCACGTGCCCCGACCCGTGCGATGCCCACGCCCACGCATGGCGAGATGGGCAGCAAGGGCGGCCGCTGCACGAAGGAGGCGGCCTGCCCTGCGGGCCGCAGCCCGGGGTCGACCCCGTGACGCCCGAGGACGGCACGTGCCAGTGCGACGCGCCCACTGCCGATGACACCTGGCAGCCGGCGAGATGGGCACCGTCGCGGCCTGCAAGGGCGGCCAGATGGGCTGCTGCACAAAGGACGGCGGCCTGCCCTGCGGGCCGCAGCCCGGGGTCGACCCCGTGACGCCCGAGGACGGCACGTGCCAGTGCGACGCGCCCACGGCCGATGACACCTGGCAGCCCGGCGAGATGGGCACCGTCGCGGCCTGCAAGGGCGGCCAGATGGGCTGCTGCACGAAGGACGGCGGCCTGCCCTGCGGGCCGCAGCCCGGGGTCGACCCCGTGACGCCCGAGGACGGCACGTGCCAGTGCGACGCGCCCACGGCCGATGACACCTGGCAGCCCGGCGAGATGGGCAGCCTGCAAGGGCGGCCAGATGGGTGCTGCACGAAGGACGGCGGCCTGCCCTGCGGGCCGCAGCCCGGGGTCGACCCCGTGACGCCCGAGGACGGCACGTGCCAGTGCGACGCGCCCACGGCCGATGACACCTGGCAGCCCGGCGAGATGGGCACCGTCGCGGCCTGCAAGGGCGGCCAGATGGGTTGCTGCACGAAGGACGGCGGCCTGCCCTGCGGGCCGCAGCCCGGGGTCGACCCCGTGACGCCCGAGGACGGCACGTGCCAGTGCGACGCGCCCACGGCCGATGACACCTGGCAGCCCGGCGAGATGGGCACCGTCGCGGCCTGCAAGGGCGGCCAGATGGGCTGCTGCACGAAGGACGGCGGCCTGCCCTGCGGGCCGCAGCCCGGGGTCGACCCCGTGACGCCCGAGGACGGCACAGTGCAAAGAGGAGGGAGTAACGTTTGAGGAGGAAGGAGTCGGGAGTCGAGTTAGCCAAGTCGAGCGAGTCCAATTACCTCCCACAACATGAGAAGACATGTTGGCACAATTTCATGGTGGGGTTTGAACGGGCTTCCACCTAGCAAGCGGAAAGCGCTCGCGCGCGGCCCCTCTTCCGACGACTTGGCGCACGGAGAACTACGAGGGCCGCGCAGGGGCGGGAGCGGCAAAACTTCTGCTGGGCGCGGCGAGGACGAAGCATGCACCGCGCTGACGCAGCACTGCCCTTTTCACACAAACTGCGGGGCGACTTGGGCGAGATCGGCGTTTTGCCCGCCCTCGCGCGGCCCCGCTGCCGCTGTCGCTCCCGTGCGCTTCGGCGACCGAGCGCGCCGCGCCCGCGCGGGAGCGCCGCCGCCGCGCGCGAGCTGCGCACGGAGCCGGGGCCAGGGCGACGCGCCGCCCGCTCAGCTCGCGCGGGCCTCCCTAAACCGGCGAGCGACGAGCATGCACGGCGCCGGGGCGGGAGCGACTGAGCGACGGTTACACGCGAGATCTGCGCGGTGCCGAGGCGAGAGCTGCACGTCCGTCCGGTCGCGCGTCGACGAAGCTACGTGCGCGAAGCGTGCGCCGCGACCACAGGGCCACCCTTGTAGAACAGTCGCCGCGGCGCTCAGGCGACAGCGACAGTGCGGTCTTGCGCGCGGGATGTGCGCCCCGCGCATTCCTGTTTTGTTTTGCAACATGGACGACCGAATGCCGAGCCCGTATTGTTTTCAACAGCTAGGGCGGGATGTCCCAGATTGGCCAGCTATCGGCTTCGTCTGTGGCAGAGTAGGAATGGAATTTAAAAAAGAATGAGGATAAGGAGAGAGGAGCATGGGGCGAGGGGGGTGCGACATCTTTTTCCCTTCTGGTGGCGGTGGGGGGGTGGCTGCCGGAGAGGCCAGGGGAGGCCCAGGCGCCCGGGAGGCGCGGGAGTCGACGCAGCGACGGCCACGGACAACGGCCACGAGATTAGAACGAAGCCGACGATAGCGACGACAATGATCATGACGACCACGACGCCGACTATGAGGACGAGGGCGTCGACGATGACGTCGCTGGCGACGACGACGACGGCAATTATCATTATCAGCAGCATCACCATCAGCATCAACATCACCAGACATCGTTGCCATAGCCGTCATCCAAGTCATTATCATCCTGCTCACCATTTCGATTTTCATCACCAGCAGGAGTCGTCCAAGCCGTACGACTGCGAAGCCGGCTACTCGAATTGGGAGGCGGGATGGTCAGAAGATAAGAAGTCGTGGTGTTGCAGCAATGAGCAGAAGGGATGCCCGGAGACGACGACGCCGCCGGCCCCGCCTTCCGAGCCGTATGATTGCAACGCTGGTTATTCGAATTGGGAGGCTGGCTGGTCGCCAGATAAGAAGGAGTGGTGTTGTGCGAACAAGAGCATGGGTTGCGCCGAGGCCGCATCTAAGCCTTTTGATTGTGACGCAGGTTATTCGAATTGGGAGGCTGGATGGAGCGAAGACAAGAAAGGATGGTGTTGCACCAACGAGCAGAAGGGCTGCCCGAAGTGAGGTTACAGCGACATTAGGTTCTCTACGCAGTGCCGTGCTCGGACCATGCGCAGCGCGCAGTCCAAGTGTAGGATAGGGGGATTAGACTTGGGCGTGGTAAGCTATTCTGCCAGCCCCGCTCAAGGCATATCCCATTGCCCCTCCTGGAGACTGTTTTTTAGGGTCCGGCGATAACCTGGGTTATCGGGCTTGCCCCCCCCCCCCCCCCCCGCAGGATAACCTAACCTTGCCGGTTATGCAGGTCCGGGGTGGGGGGTGCGGGCATAGGGCATAGGGCATATGCAGGGCTGCCCACAGCGCGAAGGTTAGGTTATCGGCCGGCCCCCTCCCCCCCTGCCTGTTAACCCAGGTTATCGCCGATTCAAAAAAACGGTCTCCTGCCAGGCAAAGATCTGGATACCGGTGAGCATAATATTTTTTATCCGAAGGGCCTAGCCCTCTGCCGCCCCCCCCCTTCGGATTGCTTGCATGGCCACGTTTCGTTGGTAGATTAATTGATTTCCTTGTCGGTTGGCTGGCTGGCAGCTCGGTTGACTCACTTGTTCGCTGAATGCTTGGGCTGTTTGCTGGCTGGCTGGTCTCGCGTTTGTAACTATTGAGTCATGGATGGTGCCCTCGGGAGCGCTTTTCCATTGTAATGTATTTGGGTTCGAGGCCTCGGGGGCGCGCACCCCTAAATATTTACGAGCTGGCTGTCGTCGCCTCGAGCCCCGAGCTGAATTCGCAGGAAACGACGCGGCCGAAACGCGCCCCCAAAACACATCCCATCACAGGAAGTCTGGTGGTCTTGTTCTGGGCAGGGGATGGCGCTGTTGGGCAGCCTCCGTGGGGGTGGGTTCGTGGCTTTGGAAGCGCGACCCTACAGTAATTTACAAGGGATTATGGCTTCAGGTTTAAGTCGGGCAAGTCCTTCTACAGGAGGAATATTGAAAAGATCGTCAAACAATAGTGTGGGGACGATCTTTTGAGTTTGTTTGTCTATGTTTGAATATTTTTCGTGTATGTTTTGTTTTTCGCCCAAAATCCGCGTGTAGGGGGGCATGCCCACGCAACCCTGTTGTAAGTTGCAAGGGTTTGTGGCCTCGGGGACGCGAACCTGATTCAAGGTAGAGAATCCGACAGGATTTCGGCTTCGGAAGCTCGGATCTGGTACACATTTGATAGATTTGTGGCCTCGGGAGCGCCCAGGCGTAGTAATGCCGCCGACTTGATATAATCTGTACAGGATTATTGCCTCGGGAGCGCGAACCTGCCGCGCCGCTGCCTTCGCATTACTCCTTGTGGACACAAGCGGGGAAAACAGTTTGAACATGACATTGGTTCGCGCAGTATCTCTAACCCAACAAGAACCCGCGCTTCAGAGGTAATGGCTGCAGACAGGGCCGCGTCGGAAGTGTGGAAGGCAGTTCGCCGTAGAAGCGGCTACTCCCGCAAGAGAAAGTCGGAGACAGAGCAAACGGAGCACAGGTAGATCAATTGTTTCGCGGCTCGATCACGGGGGCGCGAGAGGGACACGGATTGCGTCTTCGGGAGCGTGGATCTTGCGCATTTTGCATAGGGTTGTAGCTTCGGGAGCGCCAACGCGTAGTCCCCTACATTAGATTGTGGCTCGGTGGACCGTCGCCGCCGTCGCCGAGGGGCCAAGTGGTGGTTCAACCGACTCGTCGGTGCCAGTCGCCGCGCTGTGTTGCATTGCATTGCAGTGTCTTGCATTCCTCTGCATTGTTTCTCATTGCTTCCCATTGTTTTGATTCATTGTTTTGCACGGCCTTGCATTCTGCATCACATTCTGCATTACATTGAAATCGCATTGCGTTGCATTATTTTGCATTGATTTGCATTGTTTTGCATTGCGTTGATTTGCATTGCTTTGCATTGAGTTGCATTGCTTCGCGTTGCGTTGCGTTGCTTTTCTGTTTCTTTGTTTTGCTTTGCTTTGCAGTGCATTGCGCTCCGTTGCATTACTTTGCAGTGTTTGAATTGCTTTGAGTTGACTTGCGTTGCTTTACTTTGCATTGCATTGCTGTCCATTGCTTTGCAGTGCAATGCGTTGCATTGCCTTGCACCGCATATATTGCACCGCATGGATTGCACCACGAGCCTACAGACGACCCGCATAGTAAGGATGAGCGACTTTCCAAGGCTACCCTTGTATCCTTGTCACTACGGCCCATCCTTTGTAATTTTCGCTGGCCAACCTCGTGTGAAAAATGTTAACATTGCCATCCAAGGTCCTTGCATCCTTACCGCGCACCCTTATCATACGGGTTGGCTGCAGATTGCACCACATGAGTTGCACCACTGTTGGCGTGCACGCTCGCAAACATACAAAACGGATGGGTCCCAGGAGCGCTTAGTTTACAACGGATTGTGGCTTGGTGAGCACAAGCCTGGTGTAATCTATTAGGTGGTGTGACCTCGCGGGCGCCAATGCGTAGCAATGTATTTGCAATTGTGGCGCCGGGGACACACTTATCGTATTGCCAAGGTCTTTCGGCCGGCGCCGCCGACCCTGCAGGCGGACGATGACGACGACAGCGACGATTGCGACGACGACGACGACGACAATGGCGGCGACGAAAACGTTACACATTTGCGGGAAGCCATTGACTGTTTCCGTGTTAGGGTTCTCTTTGGAGTGTTCTTGGGGCTCTCTTGGGGCTGAATGAGCCATGGTGGTTTCGGGTGCGCAAACTTGTCGTACTTTGAGTGTTCGGCCACGCGCAGACGAGGGCAGGGGTAGGGGGAAGGCTTCTTAGAAGCATGCTTGGTTCTTAGAAGGCGCGGGCCTTTTGTATAGACGTAAGGCGGGCGCCTTCTAAGAAGCAGTTTCCGCCTAAGGAGCCTCCCCCCCTCCCCCTACTCCGTTGTGCGCCCTGCCAAAGTGCCCCCTGGCACCCCGCAGGAATTCAGAGCACGCGGTTTTGGAGAGGAGAGACGGGCGATTTTTTCGGCCTCACACCCACGCGCGGTCTTCAAGTATTGCACGCCAGTCGTTGAAAGTAAATATTCCGGGATTCCTATAGCCCAATTTACGTCAAGTTCATTCATACTTCAATAATCGATATGTGTTTGCTAAGTTTTGTTACTATGTGGGCGGGTCCGAGCCCAATCTGCTCGATCCGCCTTCCTCCTTCATGCTTACACGTACTTCTTCGGACTGGTTCGGCACAACAGTGGACCCAGAGCAAACATTATATCTATGCCAGTAATTTTGGAACTGGGAATGTTGGAGGGAACTGTACATCACCATCGTCCGCCCTCCAATGTTTCTTCCTCACGGTTTCATGCCAATCCCCATCGTTATCATCCCCATCCACATCATCATGATCTTCATCGTCCCTTGCTTACCCTGCATATGACATCTTCATTTTCATCATCATCATCACCATCATCAGCATCAACATCATCACCATCATCATCATCATCGTCATCGTAATCATCAGCATCATCACCACAATAACAATCAAAATCCGCATCAGCATCACCATCACCACCATCATCCCCACTCTCCAGCATGATTATGTCCAGCCTGAGCATCATCGTCATCAGCATCGTCATCACCATCATCATCTTCATCATCAGCTTCGGCATGTTCACCACCATCACCACCATCACTAAGAAAACCATCACTATCCTCATCACCGTCGTTGTCACCGTTACCATCTGCAGAATTCTGATCGTCATCATCCTACCTGTGCATCCTCCATCTCATCCTCGTCCAGGCGGGCGGGGCCTAAGACCCTAATGCCCGCTGGCCCCAACGCCTGAACGCCTAAAAGCCCTCAGGGCAGAAGGCCCGACGGCCCTACGGGCCTGAGCCCTTAAGACGCTAAGACCCTGAGGCACTATGGCCCATAATAGAGCCCTGAGGCCCTCAGATCCTAAGGCCAGAATGCCCTGAAACGTTGACACCTTGAGACCCGAATGCCCAGATACCCAAAAGGCCCTACAGCCAGACTGCACTAACCTAATGCCATGGGCCCTGCGACCCTAGGACCACGTGTTGCCACGGAGTGCATGCTTCACTCGTGACCTTTTTTTCGTCGTTCCCGTCCTCTTCCTCGTCACGCTTCAAAGATTGTGGGCTGACGGAAACTAGCCTAAGACCCTAAGGCCTTGAAACCCGAAGGCCCGATGCTTTGAGACCTTAGGAGCGTAAGACCCTAAGATCCCAAGGCCCTAACAACTTAAGACCATTGTGTCCGATGAACATAGGATCCTGACGCACAGGTGGCCTAAGGCCTGGAGGCCTTAAGGCCCTGACACCCGAAGGCGAACAATTTTTATCAAAGCCCTACAGCCTGAAGGCTCGAATTCCCTGATACAATAAGGAGCTGCGACCCTAAGACAAGTAGGCCCTAAGGCCCAGAGGCCCTACGACCCCAAGATCCTCAAACCAAACGTTTTTATGACCCTAAGGCCCGAATAGCAATATACCCTGACCATAACACCCTAAGACCATGAGGTCCCCAGACAGTAATACCCGAAGGCCCTGAGAACCTAAAACTGGAAGGCCACACGGCCATACTACCCCCAATACCCGAAATTATAGACTAATATCGTCAGGCCCTAGCACCATCTTGCCCGAATGCCCAACTACCCTACACCCGTACAGCTCGAATACCCGATAACCTGGAGGCCTTTAGACCCTCAGACCCTCAGGCCCTAATACACTTAGGCCCGAAGGCCCGAACACATCTTTGTCCGAAGTACAGAATGCCCAGAGGCCACATGACCATACACTCATCCCATTCCACCCATCGGAGCCTAAGCAACTAGAACCTGACGTCCCAAATACCCGACTGCCCTCAAACATCGAACACCGAATTCCCAAATGCAATAGGACCTTAAGGCCCTCAGACGCTAAGACCCTAAGAGCATAAAAACCTCATACCCTACGACTCTGAGACCCTACGACCGTACTTTCCTGCAGCTCGAATGCCATGAAGCTCTCATGCCTGAGACCCAGAGACCCTACGACCCAGAGACCCAGACGCTTCAGTCAAGTGAGTACTGTTGGCCGTGACCTCTTCGACCGCAAGATAACATATCGCAAGGCGCGCTACATTGGAGTCAGCTACACCGTCATGAGGGCGTACTAAATGGCAGCAATCAAGGAAGATCGCCGCACAACAGGCTGAGCGGGATGGCCACTGGCGCCTACGCGGGGTTCAAGAGGACCCAGGTCAAGGGAGATCGGCGCACGGTCCGTCGCTGAAGGCGGGTGCCGGCGCCGGCACAGACACGCGCGCGCGTTGAAGGTGCACCGAAATACCATCTGAGGCCGCGGCGATGGTTCGTCGCGCCCGCGCGCGTGCCGCTCATGGGTGCTTTGGCAAAGTCGCGGTGCCAGGCAGGGTCGCAAGACTCGTCGGTTAACATCGGTGGCGGGAGCTCCGTGGCCTGAGCCCAACGGCGGTGGGCCGGCAAGCCCAGCTGCGGTGGGCCGGCAGGCCCTGCTTGTAGTGGTCCTGTAGGTGGTCCCGTGGCTGCCCCGTGGGTTGTCCCGCGGTTGCCCCGCGGGCTGATGCCCCGTGGGCTGTTCCGCGGTTGTCTGTTGAGATGTCCGGCGCGTATCCAGTGGCGCCATACTTAGTGGGCCCTGGAAACGACAGGGCCGTTTTTTTTTACCGGTTCCGTTTTGCCGTTTTTTTGCCGATTCCGACTCCGTTTTCTTACCGGTTCCGTCGCCGTTTTTGACCGGTTCCGGCTCAGGTTCCAATCCTGGAACCGTTTTTGTTGCCGTTTCCGGCCGCCCTTTTTTTGCCGTTTCCATTTTCAAGGGACATTACCTAACAGCTTTTGCTGATAGGTTTCCAGTAGGTTCAAAAGAGAGCATCTGGACTCCACAGGGGGGTTTCGGCGGGTGCCGGGGAGGAGGGCCGGGAACAGAGCCGGGCTCGTTTTAAGCCAACAGTCACACACTTCGTGCTCTTCGACCTCCCAGAACTCCATTCCCGGGCCACATTTTGAATAACCGGAGCCAACAGTCACACACTTCGTGCTCTTCGACCTCCCAGAACTCCATTCCCGGGCCGCATTTTGGATGCCCGGAGCCAACTGTAGGCCACTTCGTGCTCTTCGAGTTCCCAGAACTCCATTCCCGGGCCACATTTTGGATGCCCGGAGCCAACTGTAGGCCACTTCGTGCTCTTCGAGTTCCCAGAACTCCATTCCCGGGCCACATTTTGAATGCCCGGAGCCAACTGTAGGCCACTTCGTGCTCTTCGAGTTCCCAGAACTCCATTCCTGGGCATGATTTTGAATGCCCGGAGCCAACTGTAGGCCACTTCGTGTTCTTCTAGTTCCCAGAATTCCATTCCTGGGCCACATTTTGAATGCTGAGGCAGGCTGATGCTGCGGCCGAGGCAGGCTGAGGCTGAGGCAGGCTGAGGCTGAGGCCGAGGCTGAAGGCAGACTGAGGCTGAGGCTGAAGCAGACTGAGGCTGAGGCTGAGGCTGAGGCTGAGGCTGAGGCAGGCTGATGCTGAGGCAGGCTGAGGCTGAGGCTGAGGCTGATGCAGGCTGAGGCTGAGGCAGGCTGAGGCTGAGGCCGAGGCTGAAGGCAGACTGAGGCTGAGGCAGAAGCAGGCCGAGGCTGAGGCTGAGGCAGGCTGAGGCTGAGGCAGGCTGAGGCTGAGGCTGAGGCAGGCTGAGGCTGAGGCTGTGACTGCGACTGCCGTTGCCGCTGCGACTGTCATCGCGAATGCGACTACGACTGCGAGAACAACAGAATTCTACAACTGGATTCTCATCTGAATCTTAAGGGGAATGCTTCCAGATATGCTCCTACACATCGCTGTTAGGTTGCCTTGCCGGGATAATTATTTTGGAAACGGTGAAAAAACCACCCTGCCGTTTCCGGGGCCCACAAAGGCTCCACATGCGCGTGCATATGCGGATGATTGCGTGTCTTGGTGCACGAATGTGCACGCGCAAGCACGCGCTGAGGTGCATGCGCCTATGCGTGCATGTTGGCGCCCACGAGGCCGATAGAAACATCTAGATGGGACGGTGGCCAGATACATTGTGTCCACACCACTGGTACGAAGACCATATCACGCGATTCCGAGTAACATTTTGCACAACGTACGTCTCGCCCCCCCCCCCCCCCAAGCCCAACGTTGAAGTGTCCACTTGTTGTTCTTCTCGCGCTGCCTCGCGCGCACCACTGCCAACTTTGGGAGGGATTCGGGGGGGGGAGTGGGTTCTCGATTTGCTGGGTGCACTTGGCCGAAACGTAGTCTTGGGGCGATGGGCGTGGATACTTTTTGGCCACCCACAGTGTTGGCCAGACCTGCTCAGATGCTTCTGAAGTTGGCGCACGCTGCTTTTACTGTGAACGTCGTGCGCGCGGGGCGCGCAGCGTGGACATCGGCACGACTAGTAACAACTCGCGCTAGCATCCGCACAGTACTCGCGAGAAACGTAGGATGAGTGGTGGAATCGCAACTCTGAGCGCAGGTTATTTTGCAGAAGTGTGTCTACGCTATCACTTTGCGCGAGTAATGTAGAGCGACATCATGGGTCTTACCTAGTAAGACCGGAACCAGGAGTGACCCGCGACCCAGCCACGAACCCGCGTACAGTCCGTCAAAAATGTCATTCGCGAAGTGACACTCACCTAATTGTAAGATTCGACTGCCCTAATACCCTCAAAGTAAGACGTCATGAGACCCTCCGACTCTACGGCCCAAGTGCCTTCACGACCATAAGGCAGAACATGCAGTACGACCCCACGGCTCTAAGGACTTAGAGCGCTTGTACACCCTAAGACGCAATAGTCCTAAGGCCCAAATGCCCTAAAACTATAAGACCCTCAGACCCGAAGGCTCCGTACTCTAATATCCCACGGCCCTAAGACCCTAATGCCATGATACCCTTGCACCCTAACACCCCAAGATCCCAATGCTCTACTATATAAGCTGCCGCCAGTGCCGCCGACCCCATTTGCGTGGTGGGGTGTGCTGGTGCAGTCTAAGAAGTTCCGGTAGAGTGCTGATACTGGTGATTGGATTGGCAGGTTGTGTTCGCATTTCGGAGATTCGTGCGTTGTGACGTTAGGAACTTCATATTAAGACGCAGGGGAGGTACAGTGTGGTGAAGCCCTGATGTTACGCTAACATGTGTGGTTTCAATTGTAGAGTTGCGCATTGGAGCCATACGGGGGGCCACGTCGGTGCTATCCTGGGGCTGGTCGTTGTCGTCTTGATGTTTTCAGGAATCACGTGTCCGCAAGAGGCTTTCATGAGAAGTCGCGGGAGGAGTCGAATCAGAAAACAAATGTATAAATGGACGATGAATGATGTCTTGCGGATTTATCGGATCGGCGCTAGACCTCTTGGCGCGGTCCCTGGCGCCAGCATCGCAGCATCCTTCGCTCCATCGCAGCAGTGCCTCGCATGGGGCTCGATGTATGCACCACGCCGTCTGGCAGGCGAAGGGGCCAAGGGGTTCGGCCCAGGAGTTCGGTGTACAAACGCTCTAGCGTCAAACAGGTTGGGAAGCTGGGGCGTCTACACGCAGAGCTCGATGGCCGACCAGACGACGTGGTGTATACTGGATGCCAATGGGCCATGGTGGCGGATTCTGACTCTAGCCTCTATCACGTGGCATTGTCGAGCGAGCCACGTGCAGCATTTCCTGGCTGAGTTTGTTCTGTGCGACGTGGCTCGATGCCATCGTAGCCTACCCAGCCTGGATTCGTCCCCCCAGCCTGGCCAGCGACCCTGGCTTGTTGGGGGTGGACTGGGTGCAATTTGGCCGGCGACCCCGGCTCGTTGGGGTGGATTGAGTGCACGTTGATGGCTGTTTCCTGATTTTCCAGCAGTCGTTTGAAACCCCAGAGAGCCCCCAAGCACTTACAGTATTTGTTCGCACACGGCCGCCGCTGGTAATTCGGTCTCGCGTGCCGTGATTGTTGTTTGGCCAGCTTGTGCATCGAGCCATTCATCTTGCGGCCCCGCTTTTCGCCCCGCTGCCTCGGAGGTGTTCTCTGTTTGTTGGGATGACGTAGTCTGAGCTGCCAGCGTCTCCGGCGAAACATATCTTTCTTGCCTATGAACAGACATCTCTATACATACATACATATACACATGAAAGGAGAGAGAGAGAGAGAAGACAACAATGGCATCAGAAAGCTTGCTCATCGAATTACAGCATGCTGTTTAAGCGGAGCCGTTTTGTTGCAGACCCAGGCTCACTGAAGACACGCTTCTCTACACAGGCAGACCTAAACAGAACTCAGGATAGGTGGGCTTCGCTAGTCGTGCACCTCTGCATCCTCTTACTCCCTTCCTCTTGCCAATCCTCGTGGGGCGGGGGGGCGCCTTGCAAGGGGCTAACACAGTCATGCGCTCCCTGTTTACCAGAGGGCGGAAAACAAGCATTTTCACGCAAGGTTCTGCGACGCATGCACATACACATATATATATATATATATAGTGTATATATATACACATATATATATATATAGATATGTGTATAGATATATGTGCGTGACACTCTTCTAGCAGGAAGTTTCAGCGTTCAGCGGTCTCCAAGTCCAGCCGACGCTCAACACGAGACATTGGGACAGCAGCCCGAACCCCCACGCTCGAATGACGGATGCCACCCTCTTCCGCCTCCTCTTACTCTTTCCTCCGCCTCCTCCTCCTCCGCCTCCTCGTCCGCCTCCTCCTCCTCCTCCTCCTCCTCCTCCTCGTCCTCCTCCTCCTCCTTCTCCTCCCTCCCTCCCTCCCTCCCTCCCTCCCTCCCTCTCACCCCCATCCCTGCCTCCCGCCTCACCTCCCTCGCCTCGCCCCGCCCACCCGATTGGTGGTTCTCCGTGGCCGCGCCCGTGAGGACGCCTTCTTGAGACCCCCGGGCCATGGCGCTGCGCCGCCCCCCGCCCGCCTGACCCGCGCACCGCCGCCATGGTGCCCCCGCCGCTCCGCCGCGGCGCTTCGCCCCCGCTGCTCGCCGCGCTCTGCTGCGCAGGCCTCGCGGCGCTCCTGCTCCGCCCAGGCGCCGAGCGCGCCCCCCCGCGAGCGGAGCCCGCGGCGCACGGCGCGCGCGCGGCGCGCCGCCCGCTGCCCGGCGTCCACCTCGAGACGGCGGCGGCGCCGGCTTCCGAGTGTGCGGCCGCCGTGGCGGGGGCGGAGGAGCGGAGCTCGGGGTGGCGGCGCAGCGAGGAGTTCTGGCCCTCCCAGATGGGGCCCGAGCAGAGGGGGTCGAAGGATCGCGCCGCATCGCCGATGCGTCGTCGATGCGTCGCCGATGCGGCTCGATTGGGAGCCCCATGCTCTGTCCACGCCGGCGCCGCCGATGCATGGCCGACGTCGCCGACGCGTCGCCGATGCATCGGCGATGCGTCGCCGATGCATTGGCGATGCGGCGCGAGCCTCCGACCCCATCTAGTCGGACCCCATCTAGGCGGCCTCTAGGAGTGCAAGTGCCCCAAGCACACCTTCCTCACGGGGCACGACGTCACGTGCACCGACCTGCTCGACACCTCCGACATCACGAGGCGCTATTACTTCACCGCGTCCAGGTACGCGGGGAAGGGGTGCTCCTGCGTGCGCCTGCCGCGTGCCGAGGAGGAGCTGTTCGCGGCGCTCGAGAAGCAGGCCCACAGCAACGTGCTGTACGAGGCCCTCTTCAAGCACACCCTCGAGTATCTGAGCGCGCTCGAGGGTGATGGCGGCTCCACGTTCGGCGCCGACCTGACGAGAGGGGGCAAGAAGCCCATCACAGCCGGGGACCTGCCTTGGACGGAAGCCGGGCGCATGGCCGTCTATAACCCGTACAACTTTTGCCCCTTGAAGTCCGGGGGAGCAGAAGTACGAGCATACGTAGTACCCCGCAGATGCGGATAAGAGTGAGGGGGCGGTTGGGACGTCGGCAGTCCGCGAGACTTTGGAGAAGCCCGCTGCAGGCGCCAAAGTTTCACAACTTATACAACGAGTCCGCCGCAGGCGCCGATTTTTTCTTCAAACCAATGTGGATCGGTCGCGGGTGGGTCGCGGGGTTGGTCGCGGGTGGGTCGCAAGTAGGTCGCGGGTGGGTCGCGGGCGGGTCGCGGGTGGGTCGCGGGGTGGGTCGCAGGTGGGTCGCGGGGTGGTTCGCGGGTGGGTCGCGGGGCTGGTCGCGAGTTGGGTCGCGGGTGGGTCGCGGGGTGGGTCGCGGGGTGGGTCGCGGGGTGGGTCGCGGGGTGGGTCGCGGGTGGGTCGCGGGGGTGACGACAACAAACAACAACGACAACAACAACAGCAACAACAACAACCACAACAACATCAACAACAACAACAATCATTTTTCAGACTGTTCGCCCTTATCTGCTCGAGTGTCGAACAACGCGAGTTTCCCAAACCCTCGATACCCGCCCTTTTCCTTTTCGATCGAACCCCTTTTGGGGGTATACCTTTCTTCCCTGCAGGCTGGGCCCCGGCAAGCGGCGGGACGGCCGCGGACCGTCGGCCTGGCCAGCGGCAGCGCTGATCGGCGGGGCGGCCGCGGACCGTCGATCCGACCCCAAGAGGGACGGACAGGGGACCGACCACGACGACGACGACGACGACGGCGACGACGTCGACGACGACGGCAACGACGGCGACGACGACGACGACGACGAGCGAAAGCGAGAGCGAAAGAGAACGACAGCAGAGCCACGAGGGACACGAAGTAGGCCACGAAGGGCGACAGCGGGGACACGAAGGGAATGCGTATGGGGCCACGAAGAGCGCGAACGAGCGTGGGCCACGAAGGGCAGATAATGCGGGGCCACAGAAGGCAACGATGGGGCCACTGAGCGGGGGCCACGAAGGGCAAACGTATGTTGGGCCGCGGAGGGTATGGACGGGGCCACTGTGGGCAGCAACGGGGACACGAAGGGCAGCGAGGGGGGAAGGGCGACAGCGGGGCCGCGAAGGGCATGCATATGGGGCCACCACGGGCGCGAACGAGCGGGGGCCACGAAGGGCAGACATATATGGGGCCACGAAACAAAGCGAGGGGGCCACGAAGGGTTGCAACGGGGCCACGAAGGGCTGCAACGGGGCCACGGAGGGCAGCGAGGGGGCCACGAAGGGCTGCAACGGGGCCACGAAACAAAGCGATGGGGGCCACGAAGGGCTGCAACGGGGCCACGAAGGGCAACGAGGAGGCCACGAGGGGCTGCAACGGGGCCACGAAACAAAGCAAGGGGGCCACGAAGGGCTGCAACAGGGCCACGAAACAATGCGAGGGGGCCACGAAGTGCTGCAACGGGGCCACGAAGGGCAGCGAGATCCCGATTCCCAGGTAATCTGTGAAGGAGTCCTAAGCGTGAGCGCGACTCCTGGGTGCCTGGGTGTCGGGAGCGCGGCGCTGGAGTAAATTGAAAAAAAAAGTCGAACGCAAGGGCGCTATTCTTCAGCAAATTGCAAGCAAGTCTCCAGCGAGAGCGAGACTCCAGAATGCAGGAGGAGCGATTCCTGAATAAATCGTAAGGAAGTCCCAAGCGAGAGCGCGATTCTTGAGTAACATGCAAGGAAGTCTCGGGCGGGAGCGGGGGTCCTGGCTAAATTGTGAGGAAGTCTCGGGCGAGAGCCGTTGTTGTTGTAACCCGGGGGCCAGGGGGCAAGTTTGAGCAGGAAGACTATCCTTGACAAAAAACAATGTGCGAGCCCCGGGAGGGCACTTCAATTGAAAAAATCAATGTGCACCGGTGAGGGGGATCAGCAATAATTATTCTTCAAGACTGAGAGTTCAACAACAACAACAACAACAACAACAACAACAACAACAACAACAACAACAACAACATTAACGACAACGACAACGACAACGATAACGACGACGACGACGACAACAACAACAGCAACAACAATGCAACAAGCATAATCCTCACCACGGATTCTCACTTCAGCCACGCACCCAGAGTTAATGAATGACCGTTCGGCCCCCTCACTCTGATAAAACAGTGTTATGATTGCAGTGACCCGGGTGCTTTCCTGAACGTGTGGGACATTACTCTTCTAGTCGTGCGGTTTTCGATGTGTTGTTGTTTTTGTTCGGGGGGCCTTGTAAAGATTTGTTATGCGGGGAAGTATATGGTTTCTCTGAACTGGTCGCTCCCGTTCGCAACCGCGCTTATGGTTGTCGACCGAGGACATACACACATACCGCACCTGATGGCGCAACCTGTGGCGACACCTGGTGCCCACCAATAACGCGATCAGTCGACGCGGCGCAATTCATGGTGCACTATATGGCGCAACCCACGGTGAAACCGAGGACGCAACCCGTGCCATAACCTATGATGCATCATTTGCGCAACATATTGCGAGACACCAATTGTGACGCAATCGACGGCATATCCCATGGTGCAGCCTGTGGCGCAACCTATAGCGACATGTATTGCGCAACCTACAGCGCAACCTATGGCACAACCAGAGGTGGCACCTATAGCGGAACACATGGTGCAGCGTATGGTTGGCCTTATTGCACAACCAATGACGCGACATTTTGCGCATTTGACGGCTACGGTGAAGCTTATAGCGCAGCCTACGGCGCAGCGTCTGGCGCAGCTCAGATCGCAATATGTAGGGAAGCGTGTTGCGCAACATGTGGGTCATTACATCTCGCAGCGTATACCGTAACCTGTGGCACAGCCACTGCCGCGACCAACAGCGCAACGTGTTGCCCACCTTATGGCTCAGCCTCTACCAAAATGTCTGGTGCAGTTGATGGCGCAGTGCATGTCTCAACCTATGCTGTAGCCGTGTGCGTCAGATTGGGTCAATCTGGCAAACGCGCCAGGAACCTTTCGGGCGCACATTATGGGAAATCTCCAGGGCAATTTCCAAATTGAATTTGTGCATGGCCCAAATATTGGGTAAATCTCCAGGCTTTAAAATCTGCCAGGTAATCAGTATCTGGGCAAGTCTCCGGAACATCTCGTCGGTCCAGGAATCTCCAG